AAATGTATGCATAATGAGGGTAAAAGTATTGCAAAACATTAGAAAACACTTGAGAAAACTATATAAAAATTGGATTCTATCAACTACCAACTGTTGAATAAACTTTATGCATTCAATGCTCTGTTTTCTGTTCTGAGCTTTAGTGCTTATCTTATATACTCTTAAGAGAGAGTCTTTAATCTTCTTACTCAATTTGACGAGTGATTCAAGAGTCTGGGACTCTTGAGGGGATTGTAACCTTGTGAGAAGTAAAGGAGAGTGATTGAGAGTGAGCTTAATTATTGTACTGTGACACCAAGAGCCCATTGAATCTTGGGGTATAGTGAAAAACTCAGAGGTGTTTTAAGAACTGGACGTGGGTCAAGTGGTTGAGACTAAATCAATATAAATTCCTACGTACTCTTCTTCTGTTCATCTTTGGTGAAATCCTTCTAAACTTATTTTCTTTTCTTTATTTGATTATTCATTTTAAAAAGTCAATTTTTTTTGTATCACCCAATTCACCCCCTTCTTGAATGAAACTGCCACTAACAACTTTAACCCGTTAATTTGTGTTTGATCAAATTTTTTTGTCTCTCTATGATTTAAAGGTTGGCAAGAGCTCATGTTTAATAACAATAATAATGGCAATAGACATAAAAACAAGAGAAAGTAAAAACAGACGTACAAGATCAAATAATTGAAACCCTGCCATACTACTTCTATGTTTTCCATCTTTTACATAATTTAATTATCTACTAACTTCGTGGGCTTGAAGATTCTTTAGAAAATAAAAACTATTTTTTGGTTTTTTGTTTTCATGCAATTGATATGTTCATGACTAATCTAACCTTTTGCCTAGCCATAAATAATCTAACTAGATCATTAATTAGTTTAAGTATTATGATTTCAACAAGTTCCCTCACCTTTTTTAATGATTTTATTATTTATATTAATATCCTATCTAATTATAGAGTTTAATTAAAGTCATTGAACATCCTATGAAATGATATCAAGAGCTTTCCTTATTGCATTACAACCAATAATGGTTTCTTTTCTTCTTTTAATTATTAGTAAACTAATATTATTCTGCACATGCCATTTATTTTCTTCAATCTTCTTGAGTGTTTCCTTTCAAATGTTGCCAGAGTTATATATATGAGAGAATGGAACTTGTAATTGATTGCTTTTTTTATAGTCTCTTCCTCTCTCTTCAAAAACTATTTATTTGAATTTGACTTAGAACTTGGTTGGTACATAATTTTTTTTGATAATTCTATATGATTGGTTTCATAGTTAGGGCACCATTTGAAGAAAAGAAAGTATAATTGTGTTTGTTGTTTTGGTGTTTGAGAATGGTTGAGGTAATACATGTGGTTTTGTGTGTGTGTGATGCTCATGTTAAGGAGGTGACGAATAAGACATTTATCTTACAAAATGGACTTTATTACTAAAAGAGCATATCTAAAGAGACTAGTGTGTAGTAGTGATGTAGCATGTCACAACCTACTTAGAATGTATAGGTCCATATTTGATAAGCTATGTTCTATGCTCACGGATGTGGGTGATCTCAAGCCTAGTAAGAATAGGCTTATAAATGAGCAAGTGGCTATATTTTTAAACATACTAGCACATTATGTGAAGAATAGAGTAACATTGTAATTTTAGTAGATCTAGAGAAACTATTAGCAGGTATTTCAACCGTATACTTAATGGTATGATGAGATGTAGCCATATGTTATTCAAGAAATCAAAGCCTGTGCCAAAAGATTCTAGTGATGATAAGTGGAAGTAGTTCAAGATAGTACACATTTATGCATTCATTGTAGCTTTCTAAACATATATAGAAAGTGTGTAGTATTTTTTCCCTTTTTTGCTGTATTGTTTAGGTCCACTGGATATTACTCATATTAAGTTTAGAATTTCTTCTTTGGACAAGGTATGATATCAAAATAGAAAAGGAGATATTACCACTAATGTGTTGGGTGTTTGCTCCCAAGATGGGTACTTATTATATGTTGTACCCAATTAGCAAGGCTTTATTGCAAATGGAAGGGTTCTTTGTAATGCCATTAGTAAAAAAAAATGGATTAAGAGTTCCACAAGGTCATAATTACTTAGTTGATGCTGGGTATACCAATTATGAAGGATTTCTTGCACCATATGGAGGGTAAAGATACTACTTGAGTGAATAGATAGAGGGGCGACATCTTAGAAATGCACAAGAATGCTTTAATATGAGATACTCTTTGGCACGAAATGTTATTAAGAGTTGCTTTGGCATTTTGAAGTTGAGGTGGACTATTCTGAGAAGCCCATCCTTTTATCCTACTTAAACATATAACAGAATAATAATTGCTTGCTGCCTCTTACACAATTTAATTTGTCAAGATGGTGTGGATCCACTTGAAAATAAAGTAGATGAAATAGAAGTTTATGTGGATGGGATGTATAATCCCCCAATTCAACACAAGAATGTATATGATCAGTGGGCCACCGTTAGGAACAATCTTGCTGATGCAGTGTTCATTGCTTTTACTTATAATAGGACATTTAGATGAAAGAGTTATGTGCTTTAAAAATTGTTATACTATAATATATTATTTTCATTATTTATGCTAGAAATTATTTTTCTATGTTTTCTTTATGTTAGGTCCTAACATATGTGTGTGTGTATTGTATTCTAGTTGATCAAAATAAGCAGATAAGCATGTGTGAAAACTTGGCGAGAATCAATTGTTAATCTATTCCATTCTAGCACTGCTTGAGAAGGGTGAACTTATGAGTAATAATGGTCTTAGGCCTAGTCTTCATGATCTAATACCTAACTGTTGTATTCAGGCATAACCTTATATCCAATCTAGGATTAAAAAGTTAAAAACTCACTATGGTGTAGTAACTGACCTTCTTAATTTATCTGGTTTTGGGTGGGATTCTAACAAAAAATGTGTGACAGCACCCAAGACACTTTAGGATGAATATATAAAGGTAAACTATTTTTTATAATAACATTGTTAGTGTATTATTTTGCTTAATGATACTTTACTAGTCTTGATTGCATCTTTATGTCATTTGTTTATAGGCAAATAAAAATGCTGCTAAATTTAGGCGTACACTTTTCCCTTACTTTGAGGAGCTCAGCATTATATATGGTAAGGATAAGACAACCGGAGTTGAGTCTGAACAATTTGATGATGTCATCGAACAGCTCAATAATCAAACTAGTTTGGATGACAATAATCTTGACACAAATGTATCACATGGGAACAATTCACCATGAGAGAACATTCCACCTTAGCACAATTCAGATCTAGCGAAGCATACTTCATTTGATGTAAATAATGGGTCAAAAAAGCAAAAGCAACACAATGCCAATTGTGATGACTTTCTACTCCAAGGTATTGAGAAGATTGCTCATATGTTTTTTGATGGCTTGAAAGACGCAAGTGAGCAAATAGCAATGCATATGAATAGGACTGGATCGTCTGAACGTGAGAAGCGTTTGGATGACATGAAGGATTCTCTTTATGATGATGTTATGAAAGTTGAAGGACTCTTACATCAAGAGCGTCTTTTAGCTTATGTCAAAATAATTTTTGATAAAATTAGAAAAGTAGATGTAATTCGTCTAATGATATCCTAGACATTTATTGTTTGAATTTCAAATGTTTGATACTTTTATTACTTATTCTTTAGGTATTTATTATTTAATTTTTCAATATTAGATTGTTTAGTTGTTATGTCTATTTTTTTATTATTAGATATTTTATTTTTGGGCTGGGGGCAAGCTAGTTGCCTCTAAACTCTACTTTATACCATTGTCTTTTTAATAAAGTGAATGAGAGATTTATAATCTTACTAAATTCATTACATATAATAAATATTATTTGCTTTTTATTTTGATTTGCTGACTAACTAAAAATTGGCCAAATAATTACAACATGTCTTCTTTGAATAATTACTTTTTGTCAGTAATCAATACACTACAATTCAATGGAAGGAAATTTGTTTAATAATGTAAATCTAAATGATAATACATGTGGCAATAAGTAATAGGATTCAGTTTTTACACTAAAGGAAAAAAAAACAGATTTTGGGAATGATGGCTGAAGATAACAAGAGATATATGTGGTTGGTGGAGGTAGGAGATTAGGTTGTAATTTTTATTTATTTATTGTAAAGGTAATTTAGTCTTTTCATTATTTATAACTAATTATAAAATAAGAAAAATACAAATATTCCCACCAAATGTTACCTCATACCAAACCTAGTTTTTAAAACCACAATCCCACAATTTCTTTTAGGGATCTTTTGGTAATAAAAGGAAAATGCATCTCTTAAGCAGAGGTAAGCTTTTTCAATTAATCGAAAAAGGAGGCCTTAACTTAAGAGCCACCAGAATTGTCAATCAAGTATTGCCAGCTAAACAAGTTTGGCGAGTCATAGCAGCGGAGGCACCTCCCTTGTAAGCTTCTTCCCTCAAGGTAAAATATATAGATATCCATTCCCCTTCGGAGTAAACTTACGTCAAGTTGGTTAGGTCCAGTAGGTCCATAAAGCCAATCAGAGTGTGCCACCTGTATTAATTATCCATGTCAGCACTTAACCCAAAACCCACCGTTAGTCCTTCTGTTAAGCGTTTTTTTTTTTTAAAAAAGTAACTGGCGACAGAACAGAACCTAGGGTGCCTGAAGTTAGAGACGGCAAAGAGATAAAAAAACGGCGGCGACCATGAAGGACAGGATACGACGGCAATCATGACGGACAGGAATAACGGCCAAGGATGGTGATATAAGGAGCTGCAGTGTGATCGATTCTGGGTTGAGAGTTATATTTATGCACGATTCTCTTGTTTCAATTTTTGGGGCTTCTTTGATTTTGGTCAGAGCGTGATTCTAGGATTTTTTGAGGCTGCGATCAGTCAAGGAGAAGTGACAATAATGTGATCGGCAAGGTTAACTAGCGGCCAAGCGTGTGCAAAGGGATGTGCAAGAGAAGCAGCTGCGTATGTGAAGGACGGATGGACGGCGGTGTGATCGTCAAAGATGCATAACAAAGTTGCAGCAAACTGGGTACAGAAGTGGTCGCGTATGTGAAGAAAGGTTAGCAGTAGTGAATTAAAGGTCGTCACTTTCTTCTCGATATTTTCTGTTTTCATTCTTCTCTTTTGTAATCAATTAGATTAGTTTTTGTTGGTAGCATATTCTGTTATACACCTGTGGTATTATTTGTAATTGTTATCATGGATTTTCTTATTTGGCAGCAATAAGCTAGATAAATCTCAAATGTCCTGTTTATTAATCTTCAATCAAAGGCTTCTGTGTGCAATATTTAGACAATTAGCTTGTGTGGATGATATCTAAGTTTGATCTTGCTTGAGTCTCTGGGTTATATTCAATAAGAAGACATTCACATCATGCTGGTAGTTTATTTTTTGTCTCAAAACGTGTGATCTAGCTTGTATAATATAGTTTGGATACATGATCAATGGCGTGTTATAATTGATCTTTGAAGTTTGCCTTTTGGTTTCTTGGACTCATTGTCTTTGTTTACATGTGTCTATCAAATTCAAATGCTATTAGTTCAACAATCATCTAATTATTGTTCTTTTTGAATGATACTCTAGATTTAGTTCTTTGTAGGAAACATGCAACCTTATCAGTTTATTTTTCCTGCAACTTGGAAGCAGACATGTGTAGCAAATATATTATCTGAAAGTTACGGCCAAGCAAAACATGCAGAGATGACAAACAGGGGAAGGTGGTGGCTTCTCCTTTGATACATCTAACCAACAAACCAAATGCATCCATTGAAGATATAGGGAGTGCTGATAAAGTGATTGCTTCTCTAGGCCCTTTTGTCACTAGAAACACATTTAATCTAGATGAATTGCTCACAACTTCTGTAAAGTATAATTGTGTTATTATATTTTTATGGTTGAAATGTCACTTTTTTTTTTGTCTCTATGGAATGAATTGAAAGAGAGCCTTCATGGAGTCTCTTTAATTTTATGTATAATTTCTTTTAGGTTTTTATTTCATAGAATCTTAACTTGTCAAAGTATTTATTGTTGATACAATGTTGTTGAACAATTTATGTAATTAGGAATTGAAAACTCTCACTAGCACCAAGACCTTCAATATGCAACTCTATTGTTTGTTATTAACAGCTCCTCAGGTTGCCCCAAAAACACTCCTCACAACTTCTTTGATAGTCAAATAGCAAAACTTGATAAAAGAAGCATGTAGAAGGAAAAAACTAACTAAGCTTCATTGATCACACAACTATCAACTTAACAAACTACTAACTATGGCTTAGTCAAGCATGTAGAAGGGAAAAACTAATTTAGCTTCATTGATCACACACAGACCATTAGCTTAACAATACTACTAACCATGGCTTAGCTTCTTGTGTTTTTATTCATTTGTGGTATTTGTGATGGCATTGGACCATACTCTTGTATTGTATCTCGCAATTGGTATTATCTTGTTGAATAATAATAATAATAATACAAGGATTAATATTGAAATAGGAACTACTCTTTTATTATCATCAAAGAAACATAAATAATTAACAAAAGAAATATTTCCTCTCAATGTTGATCTCTACGATATCATTATTGTCAATGCTATAAAAATAAAAATAAAATTTATTGTCAATTATTCCAACGGATAGCCAATGTGCATTATCAAAAGAAACAAGAATTGTGGCTCTGAATCATTCCAAAGTTGCTTCTAGCCTTCTCAAGATATTTACCTTGCCAACCTGGGTCATATTAAAATGAAAAATATAAGAATTTGATAAAATTCAAAATTAATATGGATATACCTGTAAAAAAAAGTTGGATATGATTAAACAAACTTACCTATATCAATGGAGCTAACAAATTCATAGACTCATAGTCCAAATATCAATGTAATGTTGATGACGGCTTCTGAATATAAACATAAATAATGTTTCCTTTATTATAAATATAAACTAAAAAATTTAATTAGAGATGAAATACAAGTAACCTATAAATACCTCTTGGTGCCGTTTTCTCTTTGACTTCTTTTCTAAACAGCTTTTAGGACGACCTTTAACACGAGATACACCCTCTTTTTTTTTCAATCCTTTGGCTTGAAATGCATCTTTTTCACTGGTTGCAATAGTTTCACTAACATTTTGTTGGTTTGCAATGGAAGAACTTTTGCCTAATATTTTCTCAACTTCCACAACTAACTCTACAAACTTTTTTGCCAAAAAATTTGTAGCATCATCAGACTCAGCAGCCTTACTTGATATGTCAACTGCAATTCGGCATAAATCCTTGAAACGATTTGAGACATCTAACTTTGGATCTTCTTTGATTATACGTCCACTATTATCAATGACACATCCACTTCGAGCATGTTTGCTCCATCTCTTGAGAATATACCTTGAAGGAATAACTAGCTTATTCCACAAATTAAGTACTCGAAGAGCATGACAACATAAGATGCCAACAAATTCATATTTCTTACAACTGCATTCAACTGTTTCATCTTCTGAGTTAAATGTAACCTTGTGATCTCCCATATCGCCCATCACACATACTTTATATTCAAATATTTTTGAAACTTGGTTACATTCCTTGAAAAGTATGTTACATGATTTCTCATATTCCTTTTTAACACGAAGAAAGATAGCTCGTGTATAGCTTTCTCTTGCATTTTTCAACAAAAGAACATCTAAATTTAGTGGTGGCATCGCTTGACTCATTTCATAATTCTCTTCCAACTCCTTATATCTCATGTCTTCTATCAACCTCTCAAAATTTCTAAAGAAACCTAACACATTTAATGTAGGCTTCATATAACCTCTTAATCGACCATTGAAGCTTTCACTCAATTGGGTTATTGTAGCTCCTGCACAAAAGGCATGCCGACCATATACTGATGCCCATTTTTCTCTTTTTTCAAACAAATCTTGCAACCACTTATTTTGACGAAGGTCATACTTGTCAAGCATTGACTCCCATGCATTAAGAAAGTCATCCTCATACTCAAAATCACATATGCAACCTTTAAAGTCTGAAGCAAAAGAATCTGATTTCTTGTAAACATGATTAATATGCTTGCAAGCATTTTGTGAGAGATGCCAAGCACACAAACGATGATATGATTCAGGAAATACCTTCGCAATTGCTTTTGCCATCGCTGGATCTTGATCTGTAAATATTGTGGTTGGTTTCTTTCCGCACATAGCCTTCATAAAAGTTCTAAACAGCCACTCAAATGACTCGCTTGTCTCATCATATAATAGAGCAGCACCAAATGTTACAGTTTGCCGATGGTGATTGAATCCAACAAATGGTGCAAATGGTCTCAAGTGACGATTTGTACGATAAGTAGTATCAAAAGATACCATATCTCCAAAATAAAAATAATCTACAACCATTTTTGCATCAGCCCAAAAAATATTTGTGATTTGATTTTCAACATCAAGTTGAATTTCATAAAAAAATGATGGATTTTCATATTGCTTTGATTCAAAATAGTGAAGCAATGTATAAGCTTCCCCTTCCTTCATTTCTGCCATCCTCTTACTAGTCAAATGGTTGCTAATATCTTTAAGAGTGCACCCAACATTCTCGCGTCCTCCAACTTGTCGACTCAAGAATTCAAAAATTAATTTTTGTCGTATACCAGAATTGTTTGCTTGTTCAATTTGAGTTGCTTGAGCACTAGAAATCTTTCTTTGAGATGGCAATTTATGCTTACTTCTAGGGGTAGCTAGAGCATGATTATGTTCCTTCTCGAAAGATGTAACTAAATATTTTCCATTTGTTTGTCTATTAATAATCATTTGAGCTAGACAACCAGTTCTCAAATCTTTACGGGGTTTTTTTTCCTTCACAATCCTTCACTCTTTTAAATCCTTCTTTGAAACACACATATTTTCGACCTAAAATTGTCTTTTCATCTATCTTACATTTATTTACCCACTCTTTTCTGACACTAAATCCAATAAAACCAGCATATGCATTATAGAATCTATAAGCATGTTCTTCACTTTCAAATTCCATACCCACATATGGAGTTAAATCTGTTTCATTTACTTCATGTTCTGTGAAATATTCACATATAACAATAAATTAGATATTAGAAAATTAAAAAATAGCAAGATAAAAGAGAGAGAAAAACGTAAGGCACTTGAAGACAAAACCATATATAGTTGATTGAAAAGAACAAAAAAGCAATAAAAGAAAAATATATCAATGGCACTTACCCCCACTAGCCATGTGAGAATTCGATGAACTTCAGGTTGAGGAGAGGAGTGGTTCAATAGGCAATCAAAGAAATATGCGCACAGAGAGAATTGAATTTTGTAATGGAATAAATATATCCTAGACAATGAAAAGTTTTATAAGCAAGCAGAAAGCAATACATGAGAATAGGATTTTTTAGGCGATATTGCACCTGGGCACCGAAGAAGAGGATTCGTTTTAGAGGATCATGGTCGCCGCCGTTTTTTATTCTCTGTCTCTAACTTCGATCACCCTAGGTTCTGTTTTGTCGCCAATTACTTTTTTTAAAAAAAAACACTTAACAGGAGGACTAACGGTGGGTGTTGGGTTAAGTGCTGACATGGATAATTAATACAGGTGGCACACTCTGATTGGCTTTATGGACCTACTGGACCTAACCAACTTGACCTAAGTTTACTCCTTCCCCTTCTATTATTAAACTTCCATATAATTCCTCTTGGATTTAGAAGGGTATTGCAAACTATACTGATTTAATTGTCAGTAGATTAAAATGGAGAGTTGGTAATGGCTTGCTTATTCCAACAAAACACCACTTAAGGTGGCCCATATAGCGCGATCCTAACCACTAGATGAATACCTCTCTAGTGGCAGATCTCTTATTGCATGTCCCTTACTCTTGGAATCCAACTTCTTGGAACTCCACTTTGGTCAAATCTATTTATCCTCAGTATATTGCTAAGCAAATTCTTGAATTACCCATCTCTATTTTAAATCTTCCTGATAAACTTTCTTCAAATGGAAATTCATTTGGTCTTAGATGGTCAAAGATGGTGTTAAGCTTCCATGGTCTTCCTCAAACACTGCTATCGTAGCACCTGTAGAGTTTTGGAACCTTCTTTTGAAAATTAATCTGCCTTATAAATAGTTGCTTTTCATTTGGAAGCTTATGCATAAAGCTTTACCCTCAACTAACATTCTATAAAAGCACCACCTCAATACTTCAGGCTATGTATGTTTGGTTGTGACATGGATGAGACTTTAGAGCTTTTGTTCATCTCTTGCCCTTTTTCTAAAGCTCTCTGGTTTGGATGTTTTTCAATAAGATTCTTTACTTCTTCCTTTGAGGAATTCAAAAATTGGTTCATTTCTTCAATTATGGAGCTGAATAAGAAAGGTTTGAATTATCTCATTCATGGACTAATATGTTTACTTGATACTATCTGGAGGAAGAGGAACATTTTGCTTGATGGAGGGAAAAGAGATCATCCTATCATTGTGATTTAGGAAATCAAGAGCATTCTTTCCTTTATCGATTATGCTTTTGATAACTTTAGTTCCTCCTGCTTCTCCAGGCAATACCCCCTTGTGATTTTTCTTGCTTGAGCTCGAACAAAGATGGTTGGGATGTGCTACTTTTTAAATATAAAAAAATGAGGAAATATTATTGTCATGGTATCATTTGCTATGAGGGGACACCTTTTAAGGAATTCTTGTGGCAAAACCAATCATTTGCAGGGTCTGCTTTTCACAGCAAATGCTTACGAGTTGCTCTTCTATGGATCTATAACACCAACCAACATATTACTACAAACAAGCCCTTTGTATGAGTTTACTGTGTTGAGAAGAGATTTCTTTAGCTTCCTTCTAATGATGCCTCTGTTCTCAACATTACTTGGCAAGAAATACTTGCCCTTGTTCATAATTTCTCTTCCTTTAATATTGTTATTATCTCTAAACCTTGTTTTCTTATTTTTAATTCCGTCAACAAAGGAGTGTTAAGTATTTGTAACTTATAACTATTTTTACCATGAATATCATTTTGTCTTTGGTTTCCAAAAAAAAAAAACCACAATCCCACATCTGTTCCAACTCCCTCCCCTGAGTCCATTCCCAATCCATCAAAAATCAAACCCACGTATCAAATAGGGCCTAAAAAAAGATTAGAGAAAAAAAAAACAAGAAGAAGAATGAGAAGGAAAGAAGCAAAAAGAGGGAACAAGAAAGGAAAGAGAGGTGGGAAACAACTAGAAAAAAAAAATATTAGAGAGTAAAAGACGAAATGGCTCGTGATGCCATGTGACCAAAGGCGAGAGAGAGAAAAATGACTTGCTTTCCTTAATGACATAAATAAGATATATAAACACACACATAATGGTTCAGACATAATAACAAACTATCTATTTACATCTCAACTTAACAAAATGTTAGCTCTATCCTACACTTGTCAAAATACAATGGATAAAAAGGACCATTTATTCTATTACATGCCAAAAAAGGCACATAGCCTAAAAAATAAGCAGCACTGTTTTCATAGCCAGTACTACTCATAGCATAGTAAAATGAGTGAGGAGCTGGTATGGATAGGAAAATGACTCAGCTTGACTTTGATTTTTATTTATTATATATACTCCTATGGTCCTATTTATAAAGTAGAGAGAAAAGATATTTTTTAGTCGTATTTATAGGACACTGAGAGCAATTTTTATATGGATGTATAATTTTACCCTCTATTTATTATTGTGTAGACTTTGTTTATATAAGATACAATGTATATTAAATAGGGCTAAAATTAAAAAGTTGTTAAATTTTAAATGAGAATTAATGAAGTTTAAGATTTTTTTTAGTCCGTGTGAAACATGTTGAAAATGACTTATAAATAGAAACAGAGGAGTACACAGATTTTTAGCACCAGTGCTCAATAAAAACAACACAAAAATATATTGAGATCTAAATATACATTAAACGCAAGGAGATTCCATCAAAAGAGTGCTAAAACAGAGGGAAATCAAAAGGAATCCCTGCCCAAAGTATCCAAAAAACCATAACATGCCCTTTTATTTATAGGGAAAATTACACACAGGTCCCACAGAGGAGAATTAATTCAGCTAAAGTCCCTGGAAATCCCCAAATTCTTCTTAAATCCCCAGGGACCTGTGTGTAATAAATTGCAATTGTAAAAAGTCTGTTATGTCCTTATCGATTGGAAAAGAAAAAAAAAAGAGGGGAATGCCTTCTCTTGGTGCGTTGGGTGCTTTGTATGCATGAGAAGAAAAAGGTTAAAAAAGAAGGAACGGAGGTTTATAACAGATGCCATTTGTCTATTATTCCAGGCAAGCTGTGTTTTTTTTTTCATCTTCTTTGTAGGTGTCATCATTAAGAACATTATCTTCTTCGTACACAGCCATTGAAAATGCAATGTTGGTTTGAAAAGTTGATTTACTGTAGGTGTGTGGGTATTAAGGATGAAATGAACTCACTTGAACTATCAAGGGAAGCTCATTTTAATCATATATGGTCTTAATCATCTTAAGTGTGGTTTTGTTATGTGTGGTTAGGGTTATAAGGTGATGCTCTGTTTTTTAGTGATTAATGCTCTGTTTTTCTGGTAATTGACGCTGTGTTGCAGATGAAAATGAGAGATTTTTATTGTTATAAGCCCTGTGATGCGATTGTTAAATGTCTTGTTAATGGATACATCGAAGGTTGTTAATATAATTGTATGACTTGTTATTAACAAGTGATTCTGACAGGTTGATATGAAAGATGGCAACTTCAAGTGGGAAGTATTTGTTCTGTTATCTCCATATAGGGGGATAATTTATTAATAGTGTAGAAGGTGAAATGCAATATGTTGGAGGTTGTGTGAAAACAAGAATGATAAAGAAAGGCACACCAATCACTAAAAGACCCTTAGGGAAGCCAAAACAAAGAAGGATTGAATCTCAATTTCAAAATAAAAAACTTAACCACTGTGGAAGATGCCATAAGCTAAGCCACACTGTAAAGACTTGCCAGAACTCCAATTCAAGTTGAGCTTTGTTGGTGGCTTGTTTATATTTCTTTTTGTGAATGCTTATGACATAATTGTTTTGTAAATATCATAACCCACACCTCAAGTTGTCTGTCATTATCCACACATGCAACCTGTGTGCTTTTTTGAATGGGTTGTAAATTTGGTGTAGTTATATTGTACAGATATATCAAGTGGTAAATGGACATTTGGTTGTAATCTGATATAATATCATATCTGTATTTTGATGTACTTGTCAATATGCTGTAATGGACTTGTTATCAGATGCTGTGAAGGTTGTCATTAGTAGTCTGAATTATGTTACTAATATAAAGTGACAATTTCTCCTACTTGCAATGTTCAAGATTTCTTAACACATGATAGTTGAGTTAAAGTTGTAACATGATATCATTTGGTTATAATTTGATGCTATGTTGAGGCTGTGATATCCCACAGCGTGAGTTGTCAAAGGCACTGCCGAGGTTGTTAACCACTTCTCCTCAGGTTGTCAACAGCCGCCATTAAGGTTGTAAATGAATCTCTATAATAAAAATCTACTGTAATCCTATTGGGTTCAGTTACAGCTGCTAATGACTTCAAAATGCCTCACATTATATTGTTAAGGTCGTTATATGTGCTGATAATACAATTTTTTTAAAAGCTGTGGTATCCGATAGAGTGAGTTGTCAGGGGCACTGTTGAGGTTGTTAACGACTTCTCCTCAGGTTGTCAACCACTTCCATTGAGGTTATAAATGAATATCTATAATAAAAATGTGCTGTAATCTTGCTGGGTTTACTTAAAGCTGTTAATGACTTCAAAATGCCTCCCATTATATTGTTAAGTTCATCATATGTGCTGATAATATAGTTTTTTAAGAAGCTGTGGCATCCCATATAATGAATTGTCAGGGGCACTACACTGCTAAGGTTGTTAAGCACTTCCCCTCAGGTTGTCAATAGACGCCGTTGAGGTTGTAAATGGATCTGACAGAGAGGACTGTGATATATACCTATCATGTCATCATGGTTAGCATTTGTTTATCCACTTTTATTAAGTCTTCATTTCTAGACATGATTCGGGTTTGGAATAAGAAATTTTGTGGTTATCAAAACACATGAATGCCATTATAACAACTTCATAACTAGGAAACGATGCCAATCATATTAACATAACTTAACATTCAGCAATCATTATATGGTCAAATAAAAAAAAACAAAATCTGAACTTTGTTTTTAGCTGTCATTATACTGTCAAATGAAAAAGTAAAATGTGATATTTACATTCAGCTGTCATTATGCTGTCAAATGAAAAAACTAAATACAATATATGATGGTTGTTTGTTTCTTCCTCTTGCTTTGGGAGTTTCCTCATAGCAAAGACAACACTTGATCACTATGCAGGTTGTTCCTATGAGTTACAACCCACCACAAGCATCCAACCTTCAAGTCATGTCACTTCCTTGTCAATTTTGTTGTTTTTGTCAAATAGTGCTAGCTTCACTCTACAAAGAATTTAGTAGAAACAATCTCTCTGCAAAAACAAAAAAAACAAAAAAAAGGAACAACTTTGATAGTAGTGAATGACAAGTAATCAGCAGGCATTAACAACCTTGACAGTAGTGAATGACAAGTAATCAACAGGCATTAACAACCTTAACAGTAGTGAATGATAAGTAATCAGCAGGCATTAACAACCTTAACAGTAATGAATGATAAGTAATCAACAGGCATTAATTGAAAGTTTATCAAAACCAATTCTTTTTAGCGTTTTCATCATATCATATGTGTTAAGAAATCATTGACCACTGCAAGTAGGAGAAATTGTCATTTTATATCAGTAACATAATTTAGACTGCTAATGACAACCTCCACAGCGTCTGATAACAAGTCCATTACAACCTATTAACATGTACATCAAAATACAGATATGATATTATATCATATTAGAACCAGATGTCATTTACCACTTGATATATATGTACAATGGAACTACACCAAATTTACATTTTATCTATAAGGTCCACAAATGTACACTCATTAAAGGTTACTGCGAATTTGATAACCCTGTCATTGCTTTCTTTTCCCATAATTGATGCTACCATTGTTCTAAATTCTTTATATGATATGCCTTTCTTTATCATTTTTGTTCTCACACCACCTCCAACATACTGCATTTCACTTTTTACACCATTAATAAATTGTTCCCCTATATGGAGGTAACAAGACAAATGCTTCCCACTTGAAGTTGTCATCCTTCATATCAACCTGTCACAATCACTCGTTAATAACAAGTCATACAGTTATGTTAACAACCTTCGATGTATCTATTAACAAGACATTTAACCATTGCATTACAGGGGGTTATAACAGTAAAAATCTGTCATTTTCATTCTTTTTCATCAGCAACACCGCATTAATCACCGAAAAACAGAGCATCATTCACCCAAAAACAGAGCATTGCTTTATAACCCTAGCCACACATAACAAAACCACACCTAAGATGATTAAAACCATATATGACTAAAATGAGCTTTCCTTGATTGTTCAAGTGAGTTAAATCACATCTTTAATAACCACACACCCACAGCCAATCAACTTCTCAAACCAACATTAAACTTGAGATTGATTGTGTATGAAAGAAAAGAAATTTTGTTACTGATGAGACCTATAAAGAAGATGAAGAAAAAATATAGCTTGCCTGGAATAATGGAGCACCAGTGCAGGCCTCTGTTCCTTCTTTCATAAGTTCCTCTTCCTCATACATGCAGCACCAGCGCAGACCTCCGTTCCTTCTTTCAGAAGCTCCTCTTCCTCATACATGCAGCACCAGCGCACAAACTGAAGCTTTCCCTTTGTTTTTTCTTTTTTCAATCAATAAGGGCATAACAGACCTTTTATAATTGCAATTTATTACACACAGGTCCCTGAGGACTTAGGAAGAATTTGGGGATTTTCAGGGACTTTATCTGAATTAATTCTCCTCTGTGGGACTTGTGTGTAATTTCTCCTTATTTATATTACAACTAACAAAACTAATGTAAATTTTTAGGTATTGGATTCTCATTCCTGTTCTCAGCTTGAGACCTCTTTTTTTTTTTTTTTTTTAATTGAAAAGTTCCTCCCCACTTTTGCTTTCTTTTCCGTTTAATCCATTAGCCCCTACCACTCAAAAAATATATAACCTAACATTTAAATATAAAAAATCATAAAGCTACGGTTTAATTTCTTAGTTTCTATTTACACGGTATTAGTTAATAAAAAAATAAGATAATGAAAATTATTCCATTTCAGCTCGAAGCTCTAAAAATCTAAACAAAATAGGATAACATCCAATAGCCAATTGTGCAAAAATATTAATTAGAAAATTCATCATCAATTCTCAATATTTAATCAATTAACTTCCATAAAAAGTAAAATGAATAATAAAATAAATATAATCCTTTTTTGCCAAAAGAGTAAATACAATCTAATTAAGCTCAATTAATTACAATGCATAACAAAAAGACCAAGTAATGACTACAAAAATATATCAAAAATATGACTAAGTTTAATTTTGATCAAGAGACCAATGCAAATGATCTAAGAGGGTCTTTTGAAAAATCAATAACATTTTTATAAGTAATTTGCTTAACTAATTTTATTTTTTTATAAATCAGTGGAAAAAAACTTATGTGAAGTTTTTTGTGTCCATTATGTTAAGTTTCCAATCATACATGATCATGTGTATTTTTTGTTTTATATGAATTTATAATGAAATGCTATTAAATGCTAATATTTCAAAAATAGGACAGATTAACATGATCATATATGATTGGAGAACTTGACATAATAGATATAAGAAACTTGATGTAAGTATTGTCCTAAATTGGTTGTCTAATTTTTACATTAAACAACGGAGGGAGTATTAAATGAAATATTGTCTATTAGGCCCCTTTTTGGACGCCAATTTCGTAATTATTGATAACCTCTTTGGAATTTTTTTTTCAAAAAATTACATACCAATTTCATAGCTAGGTACTCCTCCAAAACTTAATATTAGACCTAATTGAGAAGTTGATATTGGTCATATGTGTAAAACCTATTTTATATATTTATTAATTTTTTTTTCAAATTAACCTTATTGATATTCTTCCAATGATAATTAAGTAGGAGAGGGAGGGAGAGGATTAAGGAAGATGTTTAGGGTATTTTAGAAAAAGCATATCATATTAATTAATTTAACTAACATTCTTAATATACTCAAATTAGTTAATTACGTTATACATTAAGAACCCGAGGAGTATTAAATAGTAGTGACTTGGATTTTAGTGTGATTGTACCTCAAGCTCATTTTGACTGACTTCATGAAGTAAAAGGTGAAAAAACAGGACTAGATGAATCTACAGACATGAACACAAATAACTAAATATAATTTTAGGCGTCTGAGGATAAAAATATATTAAAAATATGATTTATTAATTGCATATATTAGGAGTTTAAACTAAAACACAAATGGTTTAAAATGATGTTTTAGAAAAATCAATAAACTTTTTTTTTTATAAGTAACCCACTTGCCTAATTTTCTTGATCTCTATAAATTAGTTATCTAATTGTCACGTTAAAAATCAGAGGAAGTGTTAAATAAAGTTGTCTATTAGACCCCTTATTTCATAATTATTGATAACCCTCTTTGAAATTTTAATAAAATATATATTAATTTCATAACTAGATATTAAGTAATAGTGACTTGGATTTTCATGTGCACCCTCAAACTCATTTTGTGGTATTTCGTTTTGATAATTTAGGATCTTAGTCCTGCTTTTAAATGGAATAAGTCTTTATGTGCGGTTCTGTACAAGAATGACTAAACCAACTATTAAATTTATTAAAGCAACAGTTCATGGCTCCTCAGTTCATCAATTCATTTCTCCTGTTCCCATAAAATTTCGAACAAGATCAAATATTGGTTCATTGGTTTTGTAATTGAACCAGGCAATCTAGTATGATTTCTCTTCAGTAATGCAGTTCATTTTCCCTGATAGGTGTATATCAATGCTGTTTGGAATTTTTGTTTTCCTAAGTATGGTAACCACTTCCCTTCATGTAATCAAACGAAGGAAGAGGGGTTAGCTTCCATAGCACTAAGCGCAAGAAAATCTGCAAAAATACAAAGGAGGAAATGGACATCATCAAAGCCTAAATATAATCCATTTGTTTCAAACTAGAGATGCAGCAATGTAGTAATATTTTAGTCCCATCACAATATAAAAACAACAGCACGACCAAACAGAACCCCAAGGTGTTGGCAAAAACAAAAAACAAAAAAAAAAAGCAGGACCCCAATGTGGCTCCAAATTCAGAAACAATACATCCAATAAAAATTGATTTATAAGTTACTTTGAAATCAGTACACTGGGTTTACAAGAAATATTGAAACCTGTTATTTCCTACAAAACACGCCTACTTTTTCTTCCATAATGAACAGCTCTTCATCTAAAACATTCTGATTGACTGATCTCTTTGCCCCTAGTAAATACATCTCAATCTCAGCAAGCAGCATATCAAATTCGAACTTCAATATTTTCCTTCAACAAGTGCTCCTTTACAGACTGAATAGGCACCTGAAAACATATCAAATCAATGAATCTCCAGCCACAGGTGGTTTCAGAATATTTGCAAATATTTTAAACAGCATAACTAAACAGAAAGCATAATTACTACCTTTAGTCACAGTTTACTTATTCAATTAGATTGCTTCAAGATTAACCTTCGACCATCTAAAGCTTAAAATAACCACTAATTTTAGATGATTTATCAAGTTAATCACTCGTTGGATGTGGTAAATGTAGATTTAAATTGAGTTTATTAGCAATGTGTATTATGATAATAATTCCCATTAGCAAGAGGAAAGGGGCTGATAAAATGAATGTTACCTCTTTCCTGTGAAAAATGCCAGCAGCAAGCGCAGCAGATGCATTTGTTTTGGCAAAAACTTCAGAAAAGTGACCAACAGCACCAGCACCACTACTTGCAATCACGGGTATACTTACAGCATCTGAGATCAAATTAACTAAATCTATATCAAATCCTTTCCCTTGACCTGAAATTTCAATAATGGAAAATAGAAAGTTAGAATAGATGTAGGAAACCAATGCGACATTCCAGACCTCAAGCTGGTCTAAGAAACCAGATATTTTTATAACATCCTTTCTCATGAAGATTGAAGTAAGCACGGCCCTTATTAAAAAAAAAAAAAAAATGAGAAACTGGAACCGTTATCTCTTTACATTTGTCATCTCTGTTTTTCTTTTCTTTCTTTCTTTCTTTGTGTTTTTTTTTTTTTTTTGGGCCAGCATTTTCCATTTATCATCTCAAAATGACACATAAAATGCCACTAAATTAGAACTAAGATTACCACAACACTATTATATTATTAATATTACTATTGATGAATGATGAACTAGTAACTCATGATCAAAATACATGTCCTTTTAAAATAGTCTGGCAAAAAATCGTATATTACCATCACAGTCAATGCAGTTAAGTAGTATTTCTCCCGCACCAAGTTCTTCAACTGCTTTTGCAAGCTCATAAGCGCCAATTGGTCGGCCTTCTCGTCCCCCATTAACCTTAAAATTTTTGTTCAAAAATCCCCTTAGAAAGCAAGCAGTGAAGTGGTTTTCATCCTGAATTCTCGATACTCCCTGATATTAACCAGCATCTCTAACTCGCAGAACTTTTTTTTTTTTTTTTTTTGTCCCGGGGGGGGGCAGTAAGATCAATTGAACAAAGTTATTGCCAAACTAGATGCAAGATTAAGTTTATCTTCTAATTTAAAAAAAAAAAAAAAAACACTTAAATGGCAACATTTCTGGTAGCATTATAATCACAGAAGTTCCTTGAATATCATTTGAACTCCTATTGAACTCTAAAATCTACCAAAGAAATAAATTTTGACAGCTACACTTCCAGTTTATACCAGGCTATCTCGCAGCAATGATGCGGAGGATCATAACAGTGATGATAACCATTCCTTTCAGGCAAGAAAAACCTCATGGTGACAATTCTTGTAACATTTCTAATCATGGACACAGAAGATACCCTCAGTATCATTTTGACTTTGGTCAAACTCTACAGTCTAAAAAACAAAAAACTAAACCGTGATAGATGCATCATGCATTCCTAATTCTCTAGTAAAGAAGTCATTAAATATATATTTTGCATTTGGTTTGGTCACAAAGCCTCTCATGGTCATTCAACTTTTTACTGGGTGGGAACAATTACCAAATGGGAAAATGCTCACAAAAAGAAGACAGTTAAGAATCTCATTATCAAAATATGTTTTGCATGTAAAGAGAGGAGAAAATAGGGCTTACTGTACACTGGTACCAAGCATATTCTTCTCCATTTGGACCTGAAATTTATTTTTCAAATAAAAAGAGAATGAATAAATCATTATTCAAAAATTAAATGATCTCTTTCCATCCATTACATCCCAAAACATCTCTGTAATACTGTATTTTAAGCATAAGGACTTCCTCTCAGAAAAAGGGGTACCTTTCAAGAAAACATACACAACTCAATTTGTTAGAACTAACAGTTGCTTCAGGCCCATAACTAATGACAATGACTAGCCATATCATAGAATGAAGAATGAATATTCACTTCATCGATGGAAAAGGAGAAAATCATAATAAAGTACATGGGAATTTTATTCTTGGATAATCATGAGGCCTAATTCATCTACTAATCGTATATTAGAGCAGGGGGTTCTATCAGAGGACCAAAAACCAGCACTGCTTTTGGTAGATTGATTAATTTACCAATTTCAGAAAGGATGTTCAATATATATTCCTATAATCTTAAACTAGGAGGTCCTCTTAGAAATGGAAAGGAAAGAGAAGGAAAAACATTTCATTACCTAGATTTGACACCTTTATAGCCTTGAATTGCACATCATTGGGATTCTTTATGTAGACTCTGCGAGGATCAATGCTGACTACCACTGCCTGCAAGGTGAAAATTAACTTAATAGAATGTTCAGTCCTTATATGCATCATACACTAACTATCCAATGAACCACGCATTTTATAGTACAGTAAGACAGATAGAGACAGCCCCTAGGCAAATGACTTTTCATATCTAATAGAGTACCAGTTATGAAATCACATGTAGTGAATTTGTGGAATTGAATTGATCTGATATCATTATATTAATATTTATATTAGCGGTTTTAGTGGTTAGTTTAAGTGCAACACAAGCTTAGCAGCCAGTATAGAGTATATTAGGATTATTCATCAAGTGAAGTATTTTAGATTAAAAATTTTTATCGAACATGTTCAGGTTATTATTTTCCTAACATGTGTTAGTGAGCCTAAATTTCAGGAAGTCATGGTTATTTTTCTGTCTATAAATACTGATGCTCATTACATGTAGTAATCATCTGGAAATTAAATCAATATTTGTTTTTATCAGTGGAGATTCTCCTTGGGCTTCATTAGTTATACGTGTTTAAGATCTTTGCTCGTCTTGTACTGAAGATTTTCTTTCATCTTGATTAGTTTATGAAGTTAAATTCTAATTTCATATTTCAATACAGATTTTTCTTCCTTCTCTCTCTCTCTACTTATCTTGGATCCTATCAGTCACCTCTGAATATAACAATCAACCCAGCAAATGACCTGTGATCAATAGTAGGAAATGATAAAACAGAAAATATACTCGACAAATTTGATAGATTATATTCCCCACTTCATCACTTCCAAATTTCAATATGCATAAGATCTCTACCTGTCTACCTTCTCATCCTTTCATATCTCAGACAGTTATTGAAGAAAAAAATTCCACAGCCAGGAGGAAAAACTTTGAAACTCAGAGAAGATTGGCAGGGATAACAATGAGAGATTGGCTGCTTACCTAGTCCAGATTCACCTATTGTTCTGCCAATTACTCAACAGTAAACCATAGGGTAAAAGCAATAGCTACCAAAAAAAAGAAAAGAAAAGAAAAGAAAGAACGAAAGACTTGTATGACGATCCAGTTCAAGCAAGTGAATCATAAAAGCGCCACACCGCAATAACAAAAGCATGAGCCTCAAAATCAAAACTCCAGATGAAGAGTTCTTATCCTATTCCTCAGGTTAGTAGTAGCCAAGACATATGTCTACAAAGGAAGCTGGCAAGGAAATACATAAAGAACTCGCTAAAACACTCACAAAATCACAGATTAATTTAGATATATCATGATAATTATGAAGAATTAAATAGATGCAACTAAGCTCCTAAAGATCATCAATATGCTAGATTTTCTTTTTGACATTAAACGAACAACATATTAATATATTACTTTGAAAGCCCATGGTAACAATTGGAATGGATATTTAGATGAAAAGAGCATCCACGGCTCATAGATATGTGGGTAGTAAAAAAGTACAAATGCATATAAATACTGCCAACAGTTGAATTACCTGATTACCATATACTCTAGATATCTGTTCTAAGCTGCTCTTCTGAGATTTTACCTAAACGAGGTATCCTTAAAAAGATCAGAAGAGATGTATACAAATTTACAAGCAAATATTTGTAGGAAAAAAATTGGGTTGAATTCCATACTCCAGTTCTTTGATACTCTTCTGCAGCATAAACTGCATCACTTCCAATAGAAATCTTATCAGCTCCAGATCTAAAATATTCTGAAGCAACTTCCAAACTAGAATAGTGCCTGAGAACATAGTTTTAGGATGTAACACTCAATTAACAGTCTAACTAAACAAATAAAGACAAAGCTAAGGACCTTTACATATTTAGATAAAGGACTCTCGCACAAATGTTAAAATCACTAGTACAATACCTGCCATTAGAATCAGTAAAATCTCTAATTCCACCTCCAACTGTTAAGGGTACAAATACATTTTCCGATGTATACCGCAATACCTATGAAGCACAGAACACATGAAATTCAGAGTAAATATAGGAAATATGTATACATGTACTCAATTTAAGCATGGGCACACAAATTAAAGTTCCAAATAACATTGAAAACTTCCTTTCTGGCGTGAGTAACAAACCTGCAACATTGGCAAATCACCAAGAGGGAAATCCCGGAAACCAGTAATGTTTAGAAAGCTGATCTGCAAACCAAGGTATAGATAAGTTTAAATAACATGGTTCATAGTAAGAGTAAAGAGAAGAGTTTTTGAAGGCATACCTCATCAGCTCCATCTCTGTAGTACTGTCTGGCAAGCTCAACTGGCTTGCCAAGATTTCTTACCTAATAATTAAAATAATACTATCAGATGACAAAAGTGTTAGTGTCGACTAACAGGAAAAAAAATGCTTCAGAACGTTTGATTTTGTGGCGGTGAAGGAGAGAATGAGTTTGAAACTCCTAAAGGTAAAAGACATCACTGAAGGGATTGTTCATTAATGTAATCATATTGCAGAACAAAAAAATTAATCAATCTATTAAACATTAGATATCATCATTTTTTTTTAACCAAAAAAAATATTTCCTCATGTTTTGTTTCTTCTAGTTTAATTTCTTATCCTGATGACTAGTTGAGGCTTTGTGCTACGAAGGTAATGCTTAATGCCTTTAACGTGAACAACCCAATAAAAATAAAGTAAACATTATCTAAAATACCTCTTTCTCCTTTGTTTGTTCTCTTACATCATACTGGTCTCCTTTGGTTACAACGAGGTCCCCCTTGTCATTTGCCCTCACATCAAGACAAGCAATCACCTGAACAGATAACCTTGTTAGCAAACCAAATAAATAAGTGTAATTATCACCCTGACCCCAGTCTCCCTCCAAGAGAAGAACCGCTAAAAAATAAGCAAAAGAAACCAAAACCAGAGTATGGTTGTCAAAGCCAGGAAACAAGGTAGACAGGTCCAAAGAAGAAGTTAACCCAAGAATATATATACAGAAACAACTATAACACAGGCTTCCATGGCCATACCCTTTTCGCTAGTTTTGAAGCCTTCGCTCTATCAGCCTTCTGTCAAAAGATGAACATTACAAATGGTTAGCCAACTTGAGATAAAAATTGATAGTAATAGAATTTATTTCTGCAATGTGCATAATCAGAGTAGCATGAAAGCCACCTTTGCCCTGTTTGAATTCGGATTTAGGAATCTTCTTAAAACAGAAAGACCAACATCTGTAAATTTCAATTTTAGGAATCAGTGTAAGAACTAGCAATAAACAACTCAAAACTTCAGAAAATCAAAGGCTAAAGTAAAATTCTAATTTCAAATCAAAGTGGATATCTTCTCATTATCTTTTTCCTTTCATTTTTCTGCATAAATAAGGCCTCCAGAGAAAATGCTACAGAATTAGATATACTTTTATACTTTATTATTTCAAAAACAAAATATGGAATCATTCAATTTCTCTACTGCTTGACCAACATTCAGTTACAAGACATTAAAAATTCTTGTTTTCTACGTGGTTAAGGTGTCTAATGGACATACTCTACAAAATGAAACAGAAATTAAATCATTGTATAGAAGATAAAAACTTGCCTCCACTCTTTTCAGGATGGAACTGGACTGCATGCACATTTCCTCTCCTAATAGATGCTATAAAATTGTCACCATAATTACACATGGAGGATACCCACTCTTTATTTTCGTTTGACTGAGTTAATATAAGAAAAAATAAAACATAAATTACTTTAACAAAGGCCAAAAATGAACAAAGCAACAAACAAAACAAGAAAAGGGAAAAAAGAAATGTACTGGCATTGCACGATAAGAGTGCACAAAATAGACATGACGGTTTCCAACATCTTCAAGAATTTCTGAATCCATTGTGACTTGTAAAGCATTCCAGCCGATATGTGGAACTCTAAAACCATTTGATGAGTCAAATCGCCCAACAGTTCCAGGTATTAGACCAAGACCCTTTACTGTGGCAGAAACACAGTTGTTGATTCAGTACTATCAACAACAAGAAGCATCATAAATAATTAAAATTTTGCACAAGCAATGCCAGGGGCATTTGTTCAAATAACTAAAATTAGAAGACATTTTCTCCCACATTAATCTTGTATGTTTGAGAAGTTTTTGGGCAGTTCTCTTTAGAAGAAAAAAATTAATTCAAGATAACTGACTGACATTTACAGTAAAGGAGTATTTTTTTTTGGGGCAATGCATGCAATCTACATAGCCACAACCAGCATTATGATTCTTATCCACCACTACACGTTGACAATAGTTTTAATACAAACAAAATAAATACTTCACCACTAAAACTTTTGAATGCATTAGATTACGAGTGTCATTTGGCAAAGTATACTAATAAATGTGAGGAAATACGGTATGCATACATTCAGATATTTCCAAAGGAATGTTTGTACAAAGAAACTAAAATTAAACAACATGAACTAAAACATTTTCATTTTTGTTGGTGCTGATATGGGCCGAAGCCCATTGTCTTATTCTAATTTATTGTTTCCCTCTTTTATCTCCTAGAAGTGTGGACGCTGTTATTTGTTTTTATTGGGATTGATTATGATAAGATTCTGATTCTGGTTTGACCTACACCAAACCCTAGGACCTGCGCCTATTTATGTATCTCTTTTCTCTTGAGTAAATATACTTTTGGCATCAAGATTCTTCATGGTATCAGAGCTCTCATGATCTGGTTCGGTTTCAGCCTAGAACCTTCTAGCCAAGGCGGCTCATTCCCTATGGCGCATAACACATCATCTATGTCGGAAAATTCAGGGATGAACCAACAAGCGCCGACTGATGCCTCCAATCAATCTGCTGCCATTACCATTCACAGATTGAATGGTCACAACTATCTTCAGTGGGCTTCAAGTGTGTGTCTCTACGTAACGGGGAAAGGAAAATTTGGTTACTTGACCGGTTCTGGAAAAAAACAAGAGCCATCAAATACCAAATACAAACAATGGGAAGCCAAGAACTCTATGGTTCAATGCTGGTTGGTGAATTCAATGACTACAGAGATAAGCGCTAGTTTCTCTCTAATTCAATCTGCTAAAGAGGTATGGGTCGCAGCTCGAGACATGTTTGCATCAATGAAAAAAAGGGCAGCTATCCTTGAGATTGAAACAAACCTCAATAACCTGCGACAAGGTATGCTCACAATCACTGAGTACTGGACCAATGTGCTGATTTTAGGGCAACAATTGGATTCCTTTGAAGCATATGAGTGCTCGTGCTCATCTGATGCTATGAGATACACCAAGATAAAGGAAGAACGTAGGATTTACAGGGACTCAACGCTACCTTTGATGCAGCACGGGGACGGATTATGAGTCAAGAAAACCTGCCAAGCTTAAGAGAGGTGTTTTTCATCATCAAACAAGAAGAAAGTAGACAGAAACTTTCCTCTCCAAAACTGCCTAATACCGATAATACTGATCCTATTGCTCTTTTCTCAAGAGGAGGGCAATCCAGTGATAGAAAAGGAAAAAAGAATGGTCGTTGGTGTGAGCACTGTCAAAAATCAAACCACACTAAGGATGTTTGTTGGAAGTTACATGGAAAACCAACCAATGGCAGAGGCAGGGGAAGACCAGAAAATAGGGCTCATGCAATGTCTAAAGACTCCAAAACAGAATTTGATGAAAAGCTGAGTAAGGAGGATGTTGAGTTTCTAAGAAGGCTGTTGGATAAACATGACACACGGGAAGTACTTGTGGCCACTGGTAATGTTGCATATACAAGTAATGCAGTCCTAGCATTAAATAGTAATGTTCATCATAATGAAATGTGGATTGTTGATTCCGGGGCGACTGATCACATGACTGGAAATATAAACTAAATTCAAAATTTAAAGCCCTGCCCTATCCCAATGTTTATTAAAGTTGCAGATGGTAAATTTGTAAAAGTTCGTGGTATCGGTGAAACCTTTCTGTTCGAAGAATTTAAACTGGAAAAAGTGCTATATGTACCTGATTTGAAGTGCAGTCTTATATCTATGAGTAAGGCCACCCTAACACAGCACTGTCATGTTGATTTCTCTGTTTCTCAATGTTTATTTCAGGACTTGGGGTCAGGGAAGATGATTGGCAAAGCTGAAGTATTAGAGGGGCTATATTATAGTAGAAGATAACCTACATCAAAGCAAGTCTACTTAGAATACATACCATGCAAGTGAAAAGATTTGTTCAGCCTCTGTTTCAAATAAGGAACTTTTGTTATGGCATTATAGGCTAGGCCATCCTAGTACCAAGTACATGTTGAAGTTGTTTCCTAATTCAGTAAATAAAATTTCTTCAATTCCATGTGAAGTCTGTCAATTAACCAAACACAATAAGAGTTCCTATCCCTCACATTCACATATCTCATCCCATCCGTTTGCTCTTCTTCACAGTGACCTATGGGGACCATCATGAATCCCAAACGTGACACATAAAATGGTTTGTCACATTTATTGACAATCACACACGGGTAACTTGGGTGTTTCTTTTAAAAGAAAAATCAGATTTGACACAGATTTTCCAAGACTTCCATCCGTTCAACACTTCCATTAAAATCCTACGAAGTGACAATGGAACCGAATATACCAATACCAAGTTTCAAGACTACCTTAAGAAACACAGCATTTTACATCAAACTAGCTGTGTAAACACTCCTCAACAGAATGGTACAGCAGAGAGAAAGAACTGACACTTACTGGTAGTCACAAGAGTCCTCATGCGTACACACAATGTTCCCAAATTCTATTGGGGAGAAGCTGTCCTGACCGCAACCTACCCAATTAATAGACTACCATCCAAACCTCTAAACCTCAAAACTCCAATCCAAGTACTAACAGAAACCTACCCGACCTCACATCTCACAACTCACCTTCCAGAAAAAGTATTTGGTTGTGTTGCCTATGTACATAATGATACTGGGGGAAAACTAGATCCTAGAGCCCACAAATGCATATTTTTAGGTTACTCAAGCAAAACCAAAGGCTACAAATGTTATTCTCCTGCCTTACATAAATTCTTTGTTACCTTGAATGTCTCCTTTGCGGAAAACCAAAGCTATTATTCCAAAACACCCATTCAGGGGGAGAGTGGCAAGAATGGGAGTTTTTAGGACTTCCAAATCTCCCAAAACCTTCTACACAGCCACAAATAACCACTGACCAGCCACAAACTTCTACTACCCCCATTCCAAATCTTCAGACAGAACCAAACCTTACCATTACAAACACTGATATCCCTAATCCTACACCTGAACCATACCAGACCATACTAGACAATGCACAACAGAATCCTACCACTACAAGACCTAACCAAGACATGGAAGAAGCAGGAGAGCAGGTGATACAACAAGAAGCTTCCTCTAATACCAGGCAGCATCAAATGTCAACCCCGACTTCAAATCCTGAGGATCTTGGCTGGCCCATTGCTTTGAGAAAGGGGGTAAGAAAATGCACTCAGCATCCCATAAGTAATTTTATAACCTATGAGAAACTCTCACCCTCTATGCAGAATTTTGTTACCACATTAGATGAAGAGGTTCTGCCAAATAACTTCAAAGAAGCAGTACTAGATCCTAACTGGAAAAATGCAATTGAAGAAGAGCTTTTGGCACTACGTAAGAACAAAACCTGGGTGATTAGCCAATTACCAAGTGGGAAGAAAATTGTGGGATGTAAATAGGTGTTCACTAAGAAATACAACCCTAATGGTTCAATCAACAAGTATAAGGCCAGGTTGGTGGCAAAGAGATACTCTCAAACCTATGGCATTGATTATCAAGAAACATTTGCACCAGTGGCAAAATTAAATACCATTAGAATCCTATGGTCTCTAGGTGCAAATCTGGATTGGCCGCTCTATCAACTTGATGTTAAGAACACTTTTTTGAGTGGGGACCTAGAAATAGAGGTGTATATGGAGATTCCTGAAGGGTTAGCCCAAAAAAAAAAAAAAAAAAACCCAGGCATGGCATGTAAACTCCATAAGTCCCTCTATGGACTCAAACAATCTCCTCGAGCTTGGTTTGAAAGATTCACCAAAGCTGTAAAAAGGGCAGGCTTTACTCAATGCCAAACTGATCACACATGTTTGTGAAACACTCAAGGGGCAAAAAGAGCTATCCTAATTGTATATGATGACATAATCCTAACTGGTGATGATGTGGCCGAAATAGCAAACCTCAAGAAGTCACTAGAACGGGAATTTGATGTGAAGGACTTAGGGGGTCTCAGATACTTCCTAGGGATGAAAGTGGCTACGTCCAAAGAAGGGATAGTTGTCACACAAAGGAAATATATTCTGGACCTTCTAAAAGAAGCAAGGATGCTAGGTGCTAAACTAGCAAAGACACCTATGGAACCAACTCGGAAACTGGACAACCAAGAGGAAGAGGAAGAGACAAACAACTAGACCAAGAAAGAACAAAAAAAGAAAACCAATACCTGTTGATGCTGAAAGGTATAAGAGATTGGCAGGAAAATTGTTGTATCTCTCTCATACTCAACCAGACATTAGCTATGCAGTCGGGGTAGTAAGTCGATTTACAAATGAACCACTGGAAGAGCACATGAATGCGGTTTACAGAATCCTACATTACCTCAAAATGACCCTTGGCCATGGCCTTTACTTTAGAAAAAGCAATACTAGGGAAATTGTTATATATACAGATGCTGATCATGGAGGTTTTCTACCTGATAGATGATCTACTTCAGGATATTGTACTATGATATGGGGAAGCCTTGTGACGTGGAAAAGTAAGAAGCAGACAGTAGTCTCTAGAAGCAGTGCAGAAGCAGAATTACAGGCTCTAGCTCATGTAGTCTGTGAAGGGCTATGGATAATTAGGGTTCAAAAGGAACTTCAATTTGCTCCTGATACACCTATCAGACTAAGGTGTGACAGTATGTCAGCTATAGGGATGGTGAGAAATCCTATTCATCATGAACGAACAAAACACGTGGACATAGATAAGCATTTCATAAAGGAAAAGAAGGACACCAAGATTATAGAAATATCTCATGTCCCCACACACCAGCAGGTGGGAGATCTGTTCACAAAAGCACTAGCAAGACCTCAGTTTGAAGAGTTTAGAAGCAAGTTGGGAATGATTGACATCTACTTGCCAACTTGAGGGGGAGTGTTGGTGCTGATATGGGCCGAAGCCCATTCCTTATTCTAATTTATTGTTTCCCTCTTTTATCTCCTAGAATAGTGGACGCTGTTATTTGTTTTTATTAGGATTGATTATGATCAGATTAGGATTGATTATGATAAGATTTTGATTCTAGTTTGACCTAGACCAAACCCTAGGACCTGCGCCTATTTATGTATCTCTTTTCTCTCGAGTAAATATACTTTTGGCATCAAGATTCTTCACTTTTCGTTCATCACAACATAGACATTAGAACCTTTGAAATTCTGTGAACTACATTAGAACCTTTGAAATTCTGTGAATTACATGAATCCCTCACTTCTAGTAGCCTCGCTTCATTCTAATCCTATATCAACATATGCCAAATTATATAGGCTACAATAGTAACATATAATCTCAATAATTGAAAAAGAACCAACTGTAACAAAAGCTAATGCCATAAGAAGACAAAATAATAAAAGAAGAGTATGTAACTGACTTGGTCCATTCTCCTCACTAGATTCAAAAAGTAGCTGAAGTCCAAGACAAATGCCTAAAAAGGGGCGATCCTTCTCAATATATGAACATAGTGCCTCAGCCATCCTGCAAAATATTTACACGAATCTATAGAAACTAGGAAAGAAAAATGAAAGTATCTGACTACCATTGGAAAAGCAAAATACTAAACTCCCAACTCCAAAAGAAGGGGAGAAATAGAAGAATATATAGTATACAAAAAAGATCATTTTTTCCAATTTAAATTAATAAGGACAATGAGGGAGACATCAAGTAATATAAAGGCCATTAATATTTAAAGAACACTTATCTCACATACAGTATCAAAACAACGAAAATGCAAGCATCACTTGTCCTTCAATTGTAAAAGAAACTGAATCGCAAAGCAAGACAGACGATTCTTTCTTCCATGCTACCAAAGTACGTAATGATTATATATGCCAATAAATAAATAAAGTTGTATCACTCAAAAATTACCCTGTCTTGTTTAGCACTTCCATTGCCGGGGCAAATGCTCCAACACCTGGAAAGATTAAGCGATGGGCATTCAAAATATCTTCAGGAGTTTGCACCTAACAAAGGAAGTTGTTTCAAATTCAAGAAATCCATGATAAGCAAACAGCTGTATAGCGCATAGCATATTAAACCATCTCAATCGAACTCAAAGCCAAAATCCAACAAAAACATATTACATCTTTAATGTCAAATCCAAGGTGACGGATAGCATTCCTAACACTTCGAACATTGCCAGCACCATAATCAAGCAGAGTTACAACTACGCCAGATGTAAAGAAACAAATCAGCAATGGAGATATTGAAGAAACAAAACCCATAAAGAACTTGGCATGCACATTTCTAGGAAAAGAACAAACCAGAGTCGGCAGAACAGGAGGCACGAACTGAGAAGCTTCTGGGATATTTGACGTTAGTATAATGAGAACGATTTCCCAATGAACCTCTGTCCCGAACAAGCAAGAGAGAAGAAGAGCTACAGAAAGGGCATGATGAGGATGACAAGGCAAGAGAGCCGGGGCTCGAACCAGAGGCGAGCAGTGCCGCCGCCTCCATGATGTTTCTATGCGGACCTTCGGACCTTCTGCTTCCTCCCCTCGCACTCGTGGAGTTCACATGAGGGTGCTCGGCGCATCTTCCTTACAACGCTACGTTTGAATCAGTGGGAAGATCTCAACCGTCGAATGTGCGAAATCCAGCATGAGAAGCTCACATGTGGATCGGCGGGTTTTCTTTTCCAAGAAATTAAAAACGAGACCAATCAATAAACTAGGCTGGTGAATAAGATACTAGTTTAAGAGTTAGTAGGTCTAAATACGATTAGATCAAAGTCAAATCGGTACTAATTAAAATAATATAATTAAATTAAAATATATGGAAAATATTCATATTCTAATCGTAGAAAAAATAATATTTAATTCTTTTTTGGGAAAAAGACAGAAAAATACCCTTAAATATGTAAAAACCTAGATAAGTACATGTGAAAAGCAATATCCCATATCAGAACTAGGGTACTAATTTGGCATTTGTAAATGTTACCAAAAGACATAATTGCCCCTGAGAATAATTTTAAAAAAAAAAAGAAATGCGGGAGAGGTTATTCGCGTTATGTTGTTGTGAAACTTCCTCTGCCCACATCACTTTGCCACAATCGCCAGTCACAATCTGTGTGAGGAATTGCCGTCAACCATCATCAGGGTGAGAGGAAGTGGCATCACCATGAGGGGAACATCGCAACTGTGAGTGGAGCATCTGCTGTCAGAGGAGCACTGTCTGTGTGAGGGGAAGAGCGTCGCCATAGCTAGGGTCTGGTAAGTTTATTATTTATTTTATTTGCATGGTGGTTGTCATGGGGCAATCAATTAGATTAGAGATTAGAGATTTTGGAGAATAATAAAGTTATTGGGTAGAACTCATGGGGCAATCACCTGAAGGTAAGTTGATTTAAGATGATTTTGTGAATGATTTTATTATTAATAAAAGATTAAGCCTCACTGTATTGAATAAGCAAAAGGAATGATTTATTTTGTTAATAATTTTCCTATGATCATTTTTGGCTAATTGGTGTTTGATGGTGACAACATCTGTTAGTGGAGTTTATTAAATAGGTGTAGCGATTGACGACGACTGAATAGTGAATGATAACATTTGAGCATGAGTGATTGTCTATTTGCAGAAAAGTGAAGATGATCTTGGAAGGAGATTCATCCAAATCAGTACAGAATGGATTTATGATGTTTAGGAATGAGTTTTATGAGAAACTAGCATGTACTCCCCCGCACGATGTGTGGGAAGCTTATAATTCTTGAGTTATTTTGTTTTTATTTTCATTTAATTTTCATAATTTACTTTGATATTAGAAGGCCTCTCATTTCTATCCAAGTGTTTAAATGTTTTTTTATTGGATACATCAAACTTGTTGCTTTTCTTATTAGTTCTTTTAGTAATTCTCTTTGTGCATTAACGCATTGTTGAATATTTTTTGCCAATAACTTGCTGTTGCTTATAAAATTATTGCTTTCTTCATACCATTTTGTCTTATTCCCAAAAAACTACAATTTACTTTGATATTTTATGAAATACAACAAAAAATCAAAAAACATCCTTACATATGGCAATTAAACTGGATGACACGTGGAAGAAATAATTATACTCCTTCGGTCCTAATTATAAGACCCAATTGACTTATTTGAGGAGATTAAGGAAGTAAGTTAAATTGGTTATTTATAATAAATAAGTGTTGTCATTCCTAAAATATCCTTGCTAATTAAGTATATTGGCTAAAACTATCATTATTAGAAGGATTATCTTGGAAAAAAATACATAAATATAAGAGACAAAATGGATTGGGGTCTTATAATTAGGACCAAATAAAAAGTCAAATGGGGTCTTATAATAAGGACCGGAGGAGTATAATATATCACTTTCACTCTCTGTCTCTTCTTCTTTCCCCCTGTATGACTTCTCATCCACACATTGCAGGCAAAACAATAAGGCGTCATTTTCCCTAAATTTGAAAATGATGCAGTGCCTTTTACTCATTTTTGACCAACTAAGCCCATAATCTTGTATCTCTCTCAAGTCTCAATCACAACACTAACTTTACAACCTCGAATGCCCTCTGAAATTTGAGCGTGTTGGAATATGTGATTTGATATAATATCTATAATGTCAGTAAAATAAAACCATAAACATGCATGTAAGTTGATAAAGAATATTACCAGGTCTAAGATTTTCATATGCCACTAATATTATGGTCATTGATCAAAAAAACAAAAAGTTCTCTCAATCATTTCCTAACTTGGTCTCATGCCATTTCCCAACCCATGGTCCCAATATCCTTCAACACACTACAAAAATTTGATCCATGAGAAAAGTATATTAATTCATAGAATTACTCTGTGCATTCACTGTAACATCCTAAGTCTTATCGGGTTTTAATAGCCTCTTTTGGTTGATTTTGAGGATAGATTAGTGATTTAATCTTGATCTTGGTGTTTGGGTTGAATTTGAGGTTTGTTGGAGGAATAGGTGAACATACCCCTCTCAGGGTATGTTCGCCGCGGTGCATCGGGGGTTCCAGGTAGGCTTTGTGTTCGGGAAGGTTTGGCCGCGGCGAAGTCTTGGGGACGCCGCGGCGAAGTTGTTCAGGTGAGCAAGGCTTCCCTTTCGGGAAGGTTTCGCCGCGGCGAAGGTAGGGGTATGCCGCGGCGAAGTTTTCTGGGCGAGCGAGAGTTTCCTCTCGGGAAGCTTTCGCTGCGGTGAAGATTGGAGTTCGCCGCAGCGAAGTCGGGTTTTCAGGCGAGTAATCCCTCTCGGGATTAGTTCGCCAGGGCGAAGATTGGAGTTCGCCGCGGCGAAAGGTCGCGAATCTATATATTCGCGGGAGGAGTTCATCGTGCGGGAATTAGAAAATCTGAAGGAGGAGAGAGGAGCTCTGCTAGGGTTTCGGTGTTAAGGCTTGAGGAAGACATTTCTAAGGATCCATTACCTCAAGTAAGTGATTTTAACCTCTAATCTTCTTTCTTTCTTGGAATTTCTTGGAATTTATGAGGATTTTTGGTGGAACCCTAGGATTTTCTAGGTTGTGATGAAACTGAGGTTTTTGACCGATTGTTTTGAGTTTAATTGATTGCTTTGGGTTGGTTTAAGTGTTTAATCGGTGTAGTTTCCTTGGATTTAAAGAATCTTGAATTTTTGGAGTTAGGGTTTATGGAAATGGATGATTTGGAATTGAGGTTGATAATGTAGAGGTTGATTCTGAGTTTTGTGAATTGGGTTATGTTAAGGAGGGTTAAATTGGATGTTTAATCAGTTTAGATTCGTTGTTAGAACCTTAATTGCTCAATTGGGATGTTTGGGTGTAGAATTCCTATGGTGGGTCCTTGAGGTTATGAACTTTAATTGATGTTTGGAAAGGAATTAAGGTTTTAATGGATTGATATGACTTTGGAGTGTTGCCTTGATAGATATACCCTTTGAGTTGGGTAGAGTTTTGATGGGAGATAGGAATTTTGTGTCCCCAAGTGTTGTTTTGGCCACATTATTAGTTTGAAAGCTAATATATGATGGTTGTGTGTTTGTGTGCTTGTGTAGACCGGTTGTGAGTCGTGGTGGTGCACAGGGCCACATTATCGGTTTGTTATTCCTTGCTCAGGCGAAAGGTAACCACTTTCCAATCCTTAGTACTTGCTTCTGTGGTAGTGAGTAGATTTATGTTTTGCGCTCTAAGTAGTAATTATGTTCAAATTGTATGTTGTATATAAAAAGGAAAACCGTCTTGTGGGGTTTCGACTAATGATGAATGAATTTTAGAATTGTGAAAGATATGCCACTGAATGAGGTTAATTGTGAAATGATTATTACTCTTTGATTATGATTTGAGCATGATGCATTAATTGGGAATTGGTGAGAGTTTTGTCTGTTACTACCATGTGGTAAGGCCTCCATTAATGCATGATGGTTGGCTTAGTACGTCCCCCATTGTGAGGGATAGGCCTTTTTGGCTCCCTACGTCCCCCAGAGTGAGGGATAGGCCTTTTATGGCTCCTTACGTCTCCCATAGTGAGGGATAGGCCGGGTTCGGCTCTTGAAAATCCTCCAAAGTGAGGGATAGGGTTAATGGGAATTACATCGTTTCACTCGCATGAATTATTGTGGCTATCTTGTTATCATATTATTTGTGAACTACCCCACTTGACACCTCACGAGCACCTATTTAGTAGTACATAGTATTGGAAAGGTTGGTTAATGGGACTTTGTCTCACCATGTGGTTTACAATGTTTTCAAGTGAAGGTTCCGGGTGTGGGCCATTGGGAAGAGACGCAGAGGCTTGAGCTTGGTTAGCTTTAGGCCTCTAGCATTTATATATGTATGACTAGTATATATTGCCACATTTAGGACTGCTTTTGAAATATTTGATTACCCGGCCTTGTTGTAAACTGGAGAGAATGTATCTCCTTATTTTGGTCGGCCGAAGGCCATTGTTAGTGTCTTATGAAACTCTGGATTATTTTGTTGGGAATCTGTTAGATGGGCTGATGTGATGTGTTTTGTTACCAGGGCCGGAGGCTCGGAGGCCCAATAGATGTGAATGAATGATTTCAGTTGCATGCAACGGATTACGGGTTGACCCGAGTTTGAAAGTCAATTTCTAAAAATATGAAATTTTCCTTCTACTATGGTAGCTCATTTTAACGGATTTCCTTTTCTACCATAGTAGTGATTTTGTGATGAGTTATAATGTTTTTAAGGTTAAGGGTCTTACATTCACTACAGAAACTACACTGTCGTGGAATGAAAATTCTCAAACAATCTTATAATGTTGTAAATACGTTGTCAACCTGTGAAGTGTGCACTTAAGGTAGCAGGCGAGAACAAAAACCATTTACTTTTCCTAATTTCTCATTGACCACTCTTTCATAACTTGCATATATTTTCAAAAGGAAGAAACAGGGAGTTTCTCAACATGAAGAAAACTACAAACGTATTAAAATAAAAACAGAACAATTAAAATAACGAACAAAACTATGATTAAGAAAAAATGATTTCTGATACACTACTTGTGATTCTTTTCTATTTAGGGGGTGTTTGGATACACTGAAAAGTGCTTCTTTCCGCAAATCGAG